TGGTCAGCAGTGATGGGGGTGGCACTGGGACACTAGACATGGCCTGCAGGAGTTAAGAAAGCTCCTGAGGAGGTAGCACCTGAAAGGGGAGGAAGGCATCAGTCAGGGAGGAGAAGGTTGCAGGAAACAGACTACATCTGAGAGACCAGAGCCCTCAACCGGAGCCCTGCCCCCAGCCCAGGCCAGGAGCTCTGGAGGACCTGGCGCCCCTCCCCTGGGCCCACCCCATCTTCACGCCCTGCTGCCTGGAATCTGAGGCAGCCCTTGTTCTCTGGCAGGAGGGGAATTTAATGCCGCTGAGGGATGGCAGGTCGACAGGCGAAGAGAGATGAAAGTGTCCGCTCTGGCAGCCGGGTCGGTGGCCTCGGGGGACCCTCCCATACCCCCTCTATCTTCCTCAGCCGTTCTCCACTCGGTGTGGCAGGAGGAGCCCTCAAGGGGCCCTCAGGGGAGATGTGGACCTCGGGGGACAGGATTCCCTGCAGGGCTGTGTGAGCTTGGGGGGCAGCTGGGCCTCTCTGTGTCGCTTAACTGCCTGCAGGGTGCCTAGGCCAAGGTCTGTATTATTAACGTGCTGGTGGCTGCCTATCCCTCCCCCACCTTGGCTGTCATCAGCACTGCCTGTCAGTACAGGGTGGCGGGTGGGTGGGCGGTGGGGGGCCAGGGCCAAGTGAAGAGTGACCTCCATCCATCCATCTCCGGCACCTGGGAGGGAGTGGGAGCTGGGGCTGCAATCGGGTCAGGCCTAAGTGGCCTTGAATGCAGGAGAGCCATGGGGCCGCCACCACCCCTCTGTGACAGCAGAGCTGGGCTGGCTCTGGGAGTGGAGGCTGGGGCCCCATGGCAGAATCTGCCTCCAGGCCCAGTTGGAGGTGCTATGGGTTTTGGCCCCATGAGGTGACCTTGTTGCTCTGCAAAGCGCCCCACCAAGTGCCTCACCCTGTGGTCCCTGGTTATGTTGCCCTTGTTTCCTGGGAACAGAGAGGCAAGGGCATTTAGCCAAGGTCATCCACAAGGGCACACACACACATACACACATACACGCCAGAATGTGGCTTTGACACATAGTGACCAAGAAGAGTATGTCTAGACTCAGACTCCCAGGCCCTGCCTTCTTTCCCATCATGATAAAGAGTGATCCTCCCAGAGGCCTGGCGCAGGCATCTGACAGCCAGGAGTCCAAGTTCCAATCAGGTCCCTTTACCATTTTGCTCTGTGACTTGGGTGTGTCCACAACTCTCTCTGGGCTTCAGTTGCTCATCTGTAAAATAGATAATCCCTATCCTGATGATTTTCTGGAGCCAAAGAAGCAAATTTATTGAACAAGTTGAAACCATCCCAGATTGAAGACAGCCTCCAACTAGCCTTGGGCCAAGGAGAAGTACCCACACAGAGAGCCTAGTTCCTGGCCCACAGTCACTCAGTATATTACAGGGGCTGTCCTGCTTCCTTCTTCCTGCACAAGACAAGGACAGTAGGCTCACAGCAGGGGGTCAGAGGCCCAGTCTGGCATGCTGAGTCAGGTTCAGGCCATGAAACGGGGCTCCAGTTTGAGTGGGGGATAAGGGCAGTAAGGGACTAGGTCAGGCCAAACCCCACTGCTGTGGGGGGGAGGGGGCGCCTGGCAGGCTCTGGGCAGGCTGGGGTGGGGAGAGGCCTTTGGCGGCCACAGAGAACAAAGAGGCTGGGGTTGCCAGGATATTCTGCAGAGCTGAAGCCGGCGGTGGTGGGGCTGGGAGAGGGGCTGTGGTGGCCGTGGGAACCATGCCTGCTGCCCCCACGCCAGCTCCCCTACCCAGACTGGGCCTCAGGGCCAGGCTGGGGTAAGAGGGGCTGCCAGGGCCCTCGCTCTGTCCCCAGAGTGGCACGGCTGTCAGGGCAGAGACCCAGGAAATGCTGTAGACAAAGACACATGGCACATAATGTGAGTATCACCGAGGCGAGCACAGGTGCACACCGACACACAATGTCATGAGCACACACCCAGGCAGCGTCACAAGGTCACAGCACGATCACAGACTGGCAGCACACACTCACACAGAATCCTGATACCAGTCCCAGGGCCGCACCCATGATGGCCACACAGACACAACATCGCAAACCGCAGAGAACCACCCAGAATCTTGTCTCAGGGACATGAGTACCATACAGTATATGTTGTATATTCAGTGCCACACATTCAGCTGTACAACCTGGTATCACACTGGGTCTGTTACAGAATTGAACAATGTCACAGGAGTATACATGCAGTGTCACAGGACATCCCAAAGTGTGGGGCCGCTGACATCACATTCTAATCCATGGCCACATGAGGTCTCACATCAGTCTACCACACACTGCACAGACCCATTTTCATAATGTCTCAGTGTCACATATAGCCACATTGCTGTGCAAGCCCTCACGTGGTTGTCAGGGCCTTGAAGCATCTCTTTCTCTCTCTCTCTCACACACATACACATACACAGAGCTACATGGAGTCTGGTTTTATCTCCAGCTCCAGGTGCGCTCACTTCCAGCCTCTCCAACCACCCCCTGCCATCCAAGCGGGGGTACAGGGTACTTGAGGTAAAGCTCCCAGGTCACCAGGAGGTCGGGCTCCCAAGTGTAGCATAAGGGAGCTGAGGGCACCCCCAGGCAGGGGAATTGGACATTCAGCTCCACAAGGGAGCCCGCCTCTAAGAACTTCTCTGTCAGATGGGAGAGCAGCAGGGGTGAGCCCACAACAGAAAGACAGAAATGAGAGATACAGGGAGAGACAGAAGAGACACTTGGAGATGGAGGTGCATGGGAAGGTGATGAAACACAGAAAAAGGAGTCAGAAGCAAGCAAAGACCACCAAGACACAGAGCCAGATAGAAACAGGCAGAGACAGGGAATCCCCTGGTGGACTGGGGGTCCCTCAGTGCTTCCATCACTGGGGCTGGGGTTCAGTCCCTGGTTGAGGAGCTATGACCTCCACAAGCTGCATAGTGTGACCAAAAATAATATTAAAAAAAAAAACAGAAAGAAAGAGGCGGACATGCGGGAACAGGGTCCAGGGCTGGGGCAGCAGCTAGGCCACTCTGGAGAGATGGGAGGTGGGGTGGCTGGGCTTTAGGGAGAATGCACCCCCTGAGGTGAGGGACATCTTGGTTAGATTTAGATGCATAATAGTTTTAAAATAACAGCACCAGCTACTATTGACGGAGTGCTTACAAGGAGCCAGGCCCTTCCCTAGAGTGATATCATTTCATCCTAAGGGAACTTGATGGGGGATTATGATTGTCCCCATTTCCCAGATGAGGTAACTGAGGTCTCATGTGTTCAACCTCACAGTCATCCCCACCCCTGCCTAGGCCTGCCCTCTCCACAAAGCACAGCCCAAGAGGATGAAGTTGGAAGAGGTGCAGGCCCTCAGACGCCAGGTTTATGTGATGGAGGGTGAGCCCAGGAGCTGGGCTGCGGGCTGGCACGCGAAAAGGGGACAGGCTGGCTGAGTCACGGCATACCCCCCTTGGGGCTGGCACCAGAGCCATCCACCCCACACCTGTAGGCATGCCAACGAGGGCTGGCCGAGGCCATCTGCGGCCCATGCACTGCCAGCAGCCAGGCGGGGGCAGGCCAGGGCCTCCTGCCCGGGTGCCCCCTGCTGGCCAGGCTTCCCATCCCCACTCCCCCAAGGAGGACCCTCCCTGTCCCCAGAAGCTTCTGCAGGTGCTGCAGTTTGCCTTGCGCAGGGGGTGAGGGTGCCCTGGGCTATAACACCTCCCCCTGCTCCCGGCTGGACGCCCCCCTTCGGCAGAGCCGCCTGGAGAGATCACAGGCAGCCACATGAAAGGGAATTTTTCCCAGGCAGAGATGAGGTTGAAAGCTGCCTCCCACCACCCCGCCTGCCCCTGCTGTGCCAGCCCAGGCTGCTGAGCTCTGGGTGCTCGGAGGGAGCTTGTGACACCTGGGGAGGGGTCGGGGGGTCAGAGCCCCCACCCAACTTGGCTGCTTTCTCTCCTCCCAGGAACAATAGCAGAGACATTCCACCCACCTGACCGCCCACTTGGCTTCAGAAGTTGCCCCTTCCATCAACTGAAAAGCCCTCACCCACCTGAAGCCAGGCTCCAATGTTGTCAGGAAGTTCTTCCTTGAGTCTAGCTCCATCTCAGCCAGGCTCAAAGCTGCTGCGTGGGAAGAGCCCTCCTGGTCGAGTGGATGATGGTTGCATCCTGCACATACCAGCCTCTGTGATGTCCAGGGGTGGGGCATGCAGGGCAGCTGCCACCCTCTTCCTGTTCAGGCTGCCCTGGCCTAGACCATGTGGTTGTGGTGACTTCCCCAGACACCTGGCCTCAGAGGCCCCAGACAACCTTGTGCCAACAGTCTTTCTGGAGGGAGCAGGGAAGAGGGGAGGGTGGGGTGGAGACAAGAGCCCAAGCCTGGGACACCTCCAAGCCCCACTCCAGCAGCTCTAAAGGGGGGTATGTGGGGGTAGTTGGGAGGGGTGTCTGTGTGTGTGCATGCTGGGCACAGCCAGGTCCCCATGAACCTGGGCTGAAACTGCCCCCTGCAGCTTCACTTTTCTAGATCCTTGCAAGGATGAAGAAACGAGAACCTGAACAGGCAGCTCAGGCCCCACCCCCAGCCAGAACTGCTGGCTACTCTACACTGATCAGACCTGGTGACTTGAGGTGAACAGAGAAGGTGGCCCCAGGTAAGTGATGGTCCCTGGCAGTCCAGGTTTTCAGCAGGGGGTGGGGGGCCCAATCAGGCAGGTGAGGTGCTCCAGTATCGGCCACTTCCAGATTTAAGAGCATTTTCATCCTGTCCGCCAGGATGGCTGCTCTGACTTGCCCCATTTCTGGATCCAGTGAAGACCTCACTTCCCGTCCTTCCTCCTTCCCAAGGTCGTCCCAGACAACCCCTGCCCAGCAACAGCCCCCAAGCCAGGCCCCAAAACAGGACAGCAAGAAGCCAGTGGTGTTTCGTGACACAAACATGCATTCGTTTTATTCACAAAACAGCCTGGTTTCCTAAAACAATACAAACAGCATGTTCATCAGCAGGAAGCTGGCCATGGGCAAGAGGGCCCAGGCCACAGGGGGCCCCTGGGCACCCGCCCCCACTGGCAGGGGGCCACGCAGAGAAGTCCTTTCTTCTGTTGCCATCAGTGAGGCCAGAAAAAAGGACTTATTTTCTCCAAGGTAAGTAGCCAGGATCAGAAATAGAGACATGGGCTCCCCAGATCTCAATGGATAAATGAACAGAACTTTCATTTTTGCAAAATCATCACAGTTAGGGGTAGGGGGGCTCCCATTCTGGGGCCCGTGGGTGCCCCGGGGGTGGGTGGGCTGCCCCCTCCCGCGCTGTGAGCACCTAGCGGCAGCTCCACACGCATGGATGGATACAGAGGGGCTTCGACACGGCGCCATCAACATTCTCTTTATAAACATGAGTGGATTCTCCAGGCAAACTATGCACTATTTCATGGTCGGAAAGAATCAAAGGAAGTTTAAATGAGGGTGGAGTTAAACTGTGCTAAATTACAGTAGTGCTTATTAGTAACTAGATTTCAAAAGGTTACAGAAAATTTACATTCTCTACACAAAAACTGCATCTCCTGCACAGACAACATCGACATCGACACAGGAAGGAAACTGATTGTCCATTCTTTGCCCAGGAAGTCTCGGTACTTTATAGATTCGTCTTTACCTCTCTTTTTTGTTGTTGTTGCTGCTGTTGTTCTTCCAAAAAGAGCAGTTAAATTTTTTTTCTTTTTCTTTTTTATACGAGGGACGTGGAGATGTTAAAACGACAACAAAAAATATATATATAAAAACAGGAATGAAATCTGTGAGAGAATATTTTTGGTTCTAAAGACGGGTGCATCCGTTTGTCTTCGCCCGAATCCCTTGCCGGAGACCGCACGAGCAGTGACATTGCACGCAGAGGGCAGCTTTGGGTTCGCGCCGCCGTCACTGAAACCACCGGAAGGCAGCTCCCGTCGGAAGCATCACCTTCTGGCGGGGGCGGGAGACAAAAACAAGGAGAGAGTTCAGTCAGGGTCCGGCTGGGCCTGGCGCAAAGACGTTCCCCCGTGGAGTGCCTCCTGGCGGAGGGATGGGCATGGAGTAAAAGCAGCCACCCCGTGGAGTTCCTGCCATCCGGGCCAGGCCAGAGCCGCCTGACCCACTGGCCACCGCAGGGCCTGGAGCACCCGGAGCACCCTGAGGCCGGCTGAGCCACTGCCCAGGAACCCTCCTTCCGGACAGGAAGACCCCTGTCCCTGGTCCAGAGGCCACAAGCGCCAGGTGGCCATGGTGCCTCTAGGAGTTGTGTTCACGTTTTTGTTGAATGAGCGTGTACGCATGTGCACTGGACGCACATGAGGATGTGTGCCTTGAGCTATGCTACAGTGTGTAGTATGTCTGGAGCTGTGTGAGGTGGAAGGATGCTTGCTGTGTTTATTCAGAGGCTGCGTCTATAATAAGGCTGTGTACAAGGCAGGATGTGTGTGTGTGTTATCTGTCTGTCTCTACACAAGAGGAGAGTGGGTGCCTTTGTGTGCATCCAGGTATGTTCTCTGGGCAGGAGAGCAGACACATGAGGTTTAGAGCTGGGTGAGGTGGAGGGGATAGCCACGCTGGGGTGCCATTATCATTTTGCAACCATTTTGGACATTTGCGTCAAACCCATTTGCAGAGGGGCAGGACAGGGCAGGGACAGCAGGCTGAAAAGATGCTTTTGTACTCAGGCCTGGCATCACAGTGAAGCTGTCATGGCTGGGGACATGAGGACAGGCCCTACCACAAGGATGGAGAGAAAGCATCACAGGAACCTCTCTGCCGAGAAGGTGCCGAGAACCAATCCACAGTGGGCAAACTTTGCCCACATCCCAGGCTCAAGCCACCTCCCAGGCCCATAGGAACCCTGGCCATTAACTATGCAGCCAGACTGAACTTGGGGCCTCCAGGCACCCCAAGTCTGTCAGTTAGATGCCTAGAGCTAGGGTTTTCCAGGCTTCAGAGCACAGCAGTCAGCACTGGAGCTGCTCTATTCTTGGGTGGCCTTGGGAGAAAGGCTGGGCTCTGAAGGGGCAAACGGAGGGCTTATCCCTCAAACCCAGAGGATCTATAGGACAGAACCCCTCAAATGGGGCAGGGGAGTCTCCTAGAATCTTAGGTCACAAACTGGAAACTTTAGGATATGTCTGAAAGTCAGAGACTTAGGACCTGTGTGGGAATCTCAGTACCTGACCCAGAACTCTGAGTGGTGCTGAGGGGATGGGATGGGAGGTGGGTGTGTGGCATTCGGAGTCCTGGGGCCTGGAGGGAATGCTAGGCCCCGTGTGAAATTACGTGCTTGCCTAGGTTGCAGACTACAACCTAAGGGCATCTTGGGATGTGGCTCTAACTCTCGGGGCAGTGAACTGGTGTCTTGGAGCCTGGCCTAGAACTCCAGAGCCCAGGGACAGCTGGGCATTCCCGACACAGGCCCAAGCAGGAAAGGTGGGGATGGGGGTGGGGGTGGGTTTGGACTGCCAGACAGACGCAAGAGCCCACACACCTCCCTCTAAGGCGCCGTTACCTCCAGAGCAGCGGAAGGCTTCTTTTTGAGTTCCTCACATTTTCTGAATTTGCAAATCTGATGGCCAGTCTTTCGGTTCCTACAACTGCTGCACTGCTCGCAGTTGATGCGCCGCCGGCAGGGCGCACACATGCCGCAGCGTTTCCGCTTCTTCTTGCCCGAGCTGATGGCGGAGGCCAGCTCTCCCTGCATGGGGTACTCGGCCAGGCCGGCCATGTGCAGCGCGCTCTCAGCCAGGAACACGCCCGCGGGGGTCATGATGAAGAGGCCCGGGTTGATGGGAAAGGCGCCCAGGTAGGGGAAGTCGGACTGGCCGTTGAGGGCTTCAGCCCCCGCCACAGCCTCCATGTCGGGCAGGCCGGCACCCGCCTCGCTCATCAGCGGTAGGTGCTCCTGCACCACGCGCTTCAGCATCTCCGTGGACTGCGCAAACTGCTGCAGCGTCAGCTGTCCCTCGGCCGCCAGCTCCGTGGCGCGCTCCGCCTTGCTCAGCAGGCTGGCCACAGCACCGCTTTTGTGCTTTGAGGTAGAGTTGCTTTTGTCCACAGCCATGGCCGCCGCCAGGTCGTGCCCGTTGGCCAACAGGGAGGCGGCGGCTGCGGCCGCCTTTTCGGCTGACTCCCCGCCCATCATGCTCCCGCCGCCACTGCCGCCGCTGCCCCCAAACGAAGAGTAGTGGGAGAGGGGGCGGGAGCGGCGCAGGCTCTTGTTGAGGGGTTCACTGATGATGCCGCTCTTGTTCCGCCGCTCGGGGGGTGGGGCATCATCCGCCACTGAGGCTGGCGCAGCAGTGGCTACCACCGCACTCTTGTCTGCCACTCCCGCCTTTGGGCCACTGCCACCGCTGCCATTGGTGCCACTGCTGCTGCTGCCGCCGGTGTCCTGGGGGCCACTGCTGAGGCTCGACATGGTGGGGCCGAGGCCCGGACCCCGCTGCCGGGGGAGCCTGCCAACTGCGGGGGGTCCACAGACAAGCACCGGGGTCCTGCCGCCCAGGACAGAGAGACCTGGTGGGAGTTGCCACTCAGCGCAGGTACATGGTTGGGTGTCCACGTGGAAGTGCTTTCACTCTGTCGGAACAAGAGGATACGGGGTCAGGGCAGTGGTAAACACCTCTGCCACCACCAATGCATCGCCACGGTAACCACCACGGCCTCACCAGGGCATTCATCAAGTGCCAGCCAAAGTTAGGAATTTCTCATTTGTATTATCTCAGTTAGGACTCATAAAAAACCTACAAACAGTGGCTAGGAATATTCTGTCTGATAAGGTGAGGAAGACAAGGTTTGGGAGAACTGACTGTCCCATGGATACACGGCCACTCAGCAGTGCGGTAGAGGCTCAGCCGGATCCCCCTTCTAGGGTCTGGGAAGACTTCACAGAGGCAGGCAGTCCTTCCTCTGGGAGGAAGTGGGGGTGGAGAGAGCAGGAGAGCTCCATTAACCTCAGAGGTTACGCTCTGCTTCCTAATCTTTCACTGACCCAATTATGGAGAAGAGGGGTGCACACAGAGCTTGGCAATACAGACCAAAGTATGGAAGCTGCCTCTGGATGCTTTTTTAATTTTTTTGAAGTCACTCAGTCGTGTCCGACTCTTTGTGACTCCATGGACGGTAGCCCACCAGGCTTCTCCATCCATGGGGTTTTCCAGGCAAGAATACTGGAGTGGGTTGCCATTTCCTTCTCCAGGGGATCTTCCCCACCCAGGGATTGAACCCAGGTCTCCTGCATTGAAGGCAGACGCTTTACCCTCTGAGCCACCAGGGAAGTCTTCCTAATTGTGTGTTTTAAACCTTCAGTCGTGTTCGACTCTTTGCAACCCTGTGGACTGTAGCCTGCCAGGCTCCCCTGTCCAAAGGATTCTCCAAGCAAGAATACTAGATTGGGTTGCCATTTCCTTCTCCAGGTGATCTTTCCAACTGAGATAGAACCTAGGTCTCCCACATTGCAGGCAGATACCATCTGAGCCACCAGGAAAGCCCAAGATGCCTAATATACATTAATTATCTCAAGGCTCTGTCAAGTCCTGCAGGTAAAGGTAAGTGACTTTGTTTCACACAATTTGCCAAATAGAGCACAGAGCCCTTATCTGAAGGAGCACGTACCCTTCTGCTGGAGGGCAGGCAGCCCTATGCCAGAGGACAAGCCTTCTCCTGTAAGAGTAGGGGGCCACCCTTGTGTACCCAGCAGCACATACTCCCCACTCCCTCTCAAACCTTAGGATCCACTCTTGTCTCTAGGCAGGCCTCACTGCTGTGCCCCAGCCTGGCTCCCAGATGGGTCTGAAGGGAGCACCCAGTGGGAACAGAGAGTGCAGAGTGGACTCTGGGCCAAAGGGACCTCTGACTGCTGCAAGTTGGGACCAAGAGTTGGTGTGACCCTCTCAGAAATGGGGTCTGTTCCTTGGCCACATCCATGTGTGGGGGTGCCCCTTCCCAAGACAGAGCCTGTTCTGCTCAGGCCCCAAGACTAAGGCATGTGAGCAGCCAGGCTCCTTGGCCAGAGCTCTGGAAGAAACTGTTCCAGATGGAGCTGAGTGGTAGTTTCCTCATCAGCCCTGGCTCCCTAGCATCTGCCTGCTGCGGCCCAGCAACCCCCAAGAGAGGGGTGGGAGGACAGGGCCCCGCCACGAGCAGCTGGCGACTCAAGGGGGAGGCGCACATCTGGCCGGGCCTGTCCCGCCCTGGGCTTGGGGGTGGTGCACACTGCATCTCTGTCCCCAGGCAACCCCACCATCCCCCAGTCACAGAACTCAGCCTGTCCTGGGAGGTCATCCAGCCCAAGCCTGTGAACTGACAGAAGGGGAAATCGAGGCCCTGGGCAGGCAGGGCCCCTGGCCCAGGACTGCTAAGGAGTGGCCATGAGGAGAAGCGAGCGCCGGCAAGGGAAAAGCTCCGTTCTCCAGGGTGAGGCGAAGGGCAGGCATCAGCAGCCAGCCAGCCACTCTGCCTCCCTAGCAGGTACTGGCCCACCTAAGCTCCTTCGTAGTGAAGGCGGATGAGTGGTGAGGAAGAGCTGGGCAAGCTGGCAGATTCCACTAGGACAAACCCAGGATGGCTTGGCAAGGTGTCCAGACTGGGCCGGGGGGTGCCACAGGGGTCGGAGTCATAGTAAGAGGAAAGGAGGGGGAGTGAATATATGCATCCCAGGACAGCTATGCTCTATTCTACCCACTAAGACTCCAGCCCAGGCTGGCCGTTGGGCCCTTGTCATCAGAGATCAGGGCCCCTCTAGGTATCAGTGACCCTGGCTAGGTGTGGGGGACCATGATCACTGAGAGCAGGGCCAATGACTATTATGCCCAGTCACCCAGGCCCTGCCCATCTGAGCTCAACTACCCTGCCCTGGACCACAGCCCCAGATGCAGGGTGAGGGAAAAGATAGGAAGAGGTAGGCGCCCGCGGGCTGGAAAGGTGGGGAGGGGAGCAGTCTGTGCCCAGCCCCTCTGTGCGTCCCCGCCTCTGAGGCCTGCAGGCTGGTGGCAGAAATCGATAGCTGCATTAACGCTGCTTTTGCTCCACTCCCTCCCTCCTTCCAGCTCGGCGATCTGGCTCTGCATGTGGGGCGGGCAGGTCAATTAGAAGTCAGCTCCCTCCGACACAGACACAGCCACACAGCCGGGCCTGTGTTCAGGCTCTCTCTCTCTTTTGTCTCCATCCAGAGTCTCTCTTGCTGGGGACCTAATCTCATGTTCTGTTCGTCTCTGGCCCCCTCTTTGAATCTCTCCAATCTTACATTTTTCTGTCCTTCCTCAGGGACTCTCCTCCCCCAGCCCACCGCCCCACCACCAGGCTTCCCCCCGCCCACCAGGTCCTGGGACATGCTGAGCTCGGGCCCAGAGGACGTGATATGTCATGGAACAGGTGCTGCAGGCAGTAAACGCCGGTTTGTCAGCCTCAGAAAGTGAAACTGGGAGTATGCAAGGACTGGCACACAGGGTAACTCTGTCCTGAAACTCCAGGGTGGGCAGATACCAACCTCTAGTCCCCATGGCCTGGTCCCCAACCAAGGCTGTCCCAGATCTGCCCCATACCTGGCCCATCTCCTTCAGGCCCTGGGAAAAGCTGATGCCCTTGTCCCAGCGGACCACTGAACACAGGGCTCATGGGCCCTACTCATGGAAGGGGAAGACATAAGAGGAGACCTTCTCCTAGGCCCCAGCCTCTACTGCAAGGCACACAGCAACCCTCTCCCAGGCCAGAAAGGGCCTGGCAGTGCCCAGGCGGCAGGGGAGGAGCTGGGGCTGCGTTGAAGCGGAGCGGGAATGAGCGGGAGGGAAAGCTGGCGGGCAGGCGGGCGGCGGCGGGCGCATCCATCATCGGCCCTGCCAGGAACGCATCCAGCCCCCAAAAAGAAATACTGCGCCTGAGGAGGGACAACAAAGGGCTCCGTTTCATCAGCAATGCGGAGCCAGCGCCCCGCCGCCCCGCCAGCCGCGGTCAGCCCACAAAGGACCCCTTTGTCCATGCAGGAGCCGGGCCGGCCGGGAGCTGGGACCAGGGGCTGACGGGCGGGGACAGAGCCCGGGGGTGGGGGTGAGGGGGGAACCAGTCATGGAGCGCTGGGGGGCAGAGGGGGACGTGGGGCCAGAAGAATAGAGACAGGTGGTGGGGATAGAGAATCACGAGATACAGAACTCAAGGGGTGGGTCAGAGTGGGTCAGAGAAAGGGGCTGAGGGAGGACAGAGCAAAGGGTCAAGGTTAGAGCATCATGGGGGGCAGAGACTGGGACAGCTGGGTTCAGAGATGCAGGCTACCTGGCCCAGCCCAGAGATGAGAGGATCTGAGAGACATGGAGACAGAATCCTGAGGAGAATCCCAGACGTGAGGACCTGGGGATCAAGAGAAGGCAGCTGGACATGCCCCTGGGATAGGGAAGTGGAGGCAGAGGTGGGGGAGACCAGATGAGCCCCAGCCCACTCTGGTCCAAGGCCTGGAAGAGGCAGGAAGGAGGGCTGGGGGTCAGGGGTTCTTGGCCTCAGGGCCGAGCTTTGGGGCCCCACCTCCTAGGGGCTGGAGCTCACTGGCTGTCCTGGGAAGCGAGAGAGTGTCAAAGCTGGGGCCACGCCTCCCTCTACTCCCAGACGGGCCAGTCCCAGAAAATATGGGACATGGCCCCTCCCTAACCTGCTCTCGCCAAGTGACATGCAGGCTCCCTTATCTAAGGGACCCTATTTGCTAGCACTTAGTGAGCACCTACTGTGCCCCAGCCCTGCACTCCCATGTTCTACATGTCCTCTCTCCCTTCTGACTCCTCCCCAGGACCCAAGGAACCGGAACTATGAACCAATTCCTGAGATGAAGAAATTGAGGTTGAGAGAGGTTCAGGCTGTTGAGCCAAAGTCATAGAGTGGTTCCCTGTAGGGGGAGAACTTGAACCCAGAGCCCAAGCGTTAAGTCACCCTGCTTTGTGACTGCTTTTGCTTTACCCGGGAAAGGTGACCCAGCCACCCCGAGGCTGCCCTCACCCCCTCCCTATGGGTTGTTACCATGCTTGTCACCTTTACGTGGTTGGGGGCACGAGCTGTCACAGGCCCCAGGGGAGTGTCCCCACAAGGGAGCTTGGAGATATCCAAGCAGGAACAGGGAACGCTGGACTGGTGACATCATAATGCCAGCTGGCAATGAGGTCACCAGAGGTGGTGGCAGAGCCCTCACTCCACCCTGTGCCAGGGGAGCCCAAATTGTCCTCAGCAGGGCTCTGTCCTGGGTCCTCCAGGCTACACAGCAATGGGCGGGAGTGGGGCAGGAGGGCATGTGGGGTGGGATGGAGCTGTCTGCATGGAGACCTGTACACAGGTGGCCACGGTGACATGTTCTTGACGCTGCACACAGTAGCAGTAGCAGCCCCATGCCCTGTGGTCCTGGGGAGATACAGACCAGACTGGCACTGTTCTGGAGGGTTACAA